ACTTGTTGACTGTCACTGTGGCCTCAGGAAGAGAAGTCGTTATGCCAAAAACCACGCCATTTTGAATGGTTGCTGATGGAGATTGCGAACAGATCGCTGAACTGTAGCGGGCGAGGGCCAGTATCAGCGTTGGGTGTCTGATGAACATGACAGGAATCTCAACAAGGAAGAGGAGAAGAGATGTTTCTAGGCTAAGTGCTTGGAATGACAAAGAGGGCTTGAAACAGCGAGCCATCCGACTTTATACGTAAGTGTCGACTGTCGTTTGAAGCCGAGGCGCCTCGCATCTGGCGGAGAAGCAACTCAATCGTGGGCAGGCAAATGTATCTGGTGCTTGTCAATGCTTTTGTTAGTTTCGGGATTCGGATGGGATGGAAGCCTCATCGTGGGTCTTCATGTGCCACACAATCAGCACATGCAAAATATCGTCCCCATGGGGCCTCTCCACGCGAGAGCAAAGCATAGCGAGCCGCGGTCCTCTCCTCAATTCAACACTATTGCGACAGTGGCAATCAACGCACTGACTCCACCTCACTAGTTGTTTGCTATACGCTCACTTGTTAAGGTTTCTGTTATACGAGATAGCGTGGAATTTCAGCCAATCATGTTCGCTGCTGAGTGAATACAACGCCACAAGGGCTTTCCGATAAACGAGCGACATAGTTGACAGCGTGCGCAACCGTCGACGCGACTCGCTGGTATAGCTTAGGAACGAGCAGATACGAGCACGGCTGAGATGCAACATCAGTTGTGAGAAAAGGGCCCGACGAGACCGCCCGCTCGGCCGATGCTGGTGTTGGAGGAAATATATAACGACATGAATACCCCGAATAGCGAACGTTCACCAAATGCAAGAGCTAGCCACAATGCTCTCCCTTGTCATCGGCGTCATAGCCTTTGTTGCTTGTATACGATCAGAGCCGCTGCCCATACGTGCTTCAGCACCATGCAGCCCTTCTACATCGGATCTCGTCCCACCAACAGCGATCGATGCTTCCATCTTCGCTTCCAGCTGCGAGATCAAGAATATCGTGGATCAGATCTGCCATTCAGGACTGCGATTGCCAGGAAGTCCCAATCACCTGAAAGTCATCAAGTACATCACACGCCAGCTCCGCTCCATTCCAGGCGTCACCTTCACCAAGAGTGATTTTGAGCTGGCCAACTGGCAACCGGCGCACAATTCCATCTATCGTGCAGCCCAGCTGAAGATTGGCGACGAAGCAGTCGATGTCGCCGGTGCAATCGCCTACTCTCTGCCAACGAATGGCTCTGCCATATCAGGTGGGTATCCAGCACCTGGAATTCCACATTACTGAGAGATATGGCTGACCAAAAACTCTCTGCAGGGCAGCTCATGTACCTGGATCCGAATGCCAACATCTCCACCATCGATCTAAAGGGGAAGATCATCGTACGGGACTATTCGAATCTGGCCATTCCCACCTCATTATTCCAGTCCATCGCCTACTACGCCTCTGCAGACGCGACGCTCAATCCAACTTATTCACGTCCGTTCCTCACTCCTCCGCATGCAGATCTACTGGCAGCGAGCCTTGGTGGAGCAGCAGGATACGTATCGGCCTTTAATGTCTCCCGCAAACAGTTGGAAGGCTATTATAGCGGCCATTCCGGCACACACTGGCTCGTGCCAGGAGTTTTCACTGGAGCGGAACAGTACTTGCAATTGCGAGAGGCTGCTGAGAAGAACCTCACGGCTTCCATTCGCATCGATGCAAAGAGTGGTAGAGTCAAGGTCCCTAGGCTGATGGCCACTCTGCCGGGCCTGTCGAATGAGACGATCGTAATTGCCACTCACACGGACGGCGTCACCTACGTTCAAGAGAACGGACCCGCCGCGCTCCTCACGCTCTTGAAGTACTTCGCCGCCTTGCCAATCCGGGCTCGCGTGAAGACTCTGAAGTTCGCTTTCGAAGCTAGTCATCTCGCCTACCAGCTAGATTCGGACAAACTGTTAGCGAAATCGCTCGATGCCGACTACGATCAAGCAAATGGGACCACAGCCTTCGTGATCGCCATCGAGCATTTGGGTTCACGTGAGATCGAGTCCTATCCCGCTCCGAATGGCACATACGGCAATGTCTTGAATTACACGGGCCGGGGCGAAGCAATCTTGTGGGCAGTCGGCGAGGTGCAGCAAGCTATCGACGGCGTCATCGATATCGCCAAGAACAGGAGTCTTGACAATGTGGTCGTCTCGCCAGGTTTCCCACCTGCCAACCCTCCCAATATGGTTCCCACCTATCCTAGCATGGGCGGGCTGGGAACGTACTACACCAATGCTTTGCTGCCAACAATGTCGCTCATCTCAGGGCCGTGGAGCCTGTGGGCACCGAGCTTTGGAGCTGAAGCTGTCGACTATGATCGGCTCCGAATCCAGCATATCGCGATTGGGGACGCAGTACTGATGCTTTCGCAATTCTCGAAGGAGCAATTGGCGGGCAATTATACTGAATTCCGTCGTCTTCGTGCTGCGGGCACAGCGAATACCACGACCATCAATTACGATGACGCGCAATTCATCACCACGCCTGATGGTGTGTATTATTGAGCGGCGTTCGTCCAGTAATTCCACTGTCGATGGAGGGTAGTTATGAAAGTTGGCATAACTTTTGGGCGGAAGTCAAACAAATTGCCATGGCTCTGCAAGTGCACAGACGTGCAGGACCCGTGCGGGGCCGTATCCTGGTAACCTCACCTCTGAGTCGCTCTGGTCGACAACTGCTCCATCCAACACAATGTAGTCTCCATCTATCGACGTAAGCACTTATGCCATAGCAGCAATCAACTTCATACAGCAGCAATACATATTCATCTCTCGCATCCACGCCTCACAAGAAACTGTAGTCCATCACCAGTACCGTAACAGCAATATCCGCGACCATGACCCAAATCAAAGACTCCCCCGAAGTCAAAGCCATCAAATCCCTCATCCAAGCCTTCTTCGACGCGATCAATGCCGCCGACATCGAGGGTCTCGGCACCTACTTCGCTCACGAGGCAAACCTAACCATCATCCGACAAGAACCTCCTCGATCACCCTCCTCCGAATCGACATCTTCTTACCCTCAATTCGCCAATATCCCCTCCCCACCTCCAACAGCCTACCAACAACAAACGTCTCAAGAGAAAGAGAAAGAATCTCTCAAAGTCGTGATCCGCACCGATATAGCCCACTTCCTCGCCCTCCTCGAAGAAGGCCGCAAAAGACGCGAAGGACAACCGGATCTGCACATTTTCGAGAAACCAGATCTAGAACGTACGGAAGTAAAAGTTGATGCTCTGTTCGCTATGGCTTGGTGTCCGTTTAGTGTGACGTTTGCGGAGAAGTTGCATCATTATGGAACGTTGGTTTTTACGGTTGGGAAAGAGGCAGAAGAAGCACAGTGGAAGATTGAGGGTTTGACGCAGAATTATAGGAGGAGTGTGGGGTGGGAGGGGGAGAAAGAGTTCATGTAGATCGTAAGAGATCGGATACGATCGGCGAAAGGTCGTGGAGATGTCTGCAAAGAAGAGGAGTTAAAACGCTTGCGTTGCTCAAACTACGTAGTGCGGTAGGACAGTCGGTCTCATCCTGCGAGATTCGCAGACCGCATGAATCAACTCTCAAAAGTCCTTCCAACCAAGTTCTTTGAGCGCCATGATTCGGGTCCAAGTTCCCCGTTGCCCTTTATCTCTTGCGTAGACTTCCACTCACTAACCTCCGCTCGCATTGGAGTTGGTCATGTATTGCACCCAACGTTCCTTCAACCATTCTCCCAGGCTCGAATCCGGTCGCAGTGGGCCACCTTCCAATCCGCTATAACAAATGCTTGCAAACTCATTGAAGACGGCGTGCGGGATGTTGCTGCTTCTCAATACAGCAAGCACAGTATTCTCCAGATCTGGACGTTTGAGTATGACGCTGGCCTGGTACTGCCGCAGTAGGTTTCTCAGCTGCTCGAGAAGTTCTGCATCCTTCCCGTTCACTGGTTCGATAGACATGGTGAAGCTGCGATCTGTGGCTGATTCTTTCCGTTCGCGTTTGATCTTGACGGGTGCCGTAGGCATCTCCGGGAGCTCGGGCGGAGGCGTGGTGAGATCAACCGTGTCCGTTACTGAAGGCGTAGGAAGAAATTTGGGGCGCTTAGCAACGCGAATAGAATCACCTTCGTCGTCGTCGTCGTCGTCGTCTTTTACGATGCGCTTGCGAGAACTTCTCGGAGGTTGTGGGCGCAGACTAGTTGTGATCAGCAGAGCACTCTTTATTCCATAACGTTCACTTACATGAACTGCGCCGTCTCTCCACTGCCTCCATTCCTTTGGTCCAAAGCAGCCAAATGCTTTCCAGCGTTTCTGTTTGATGGCATCCAGGCTTGATCATCCCAGAGGTCAGTCACGTCGCGGCTTAACAAAGGCTCCTCGCTGGTATTGTTCTGCTCGCGCATCGAGAATCGCACTCCCGATTTCCACTCATTGGCTTCGATGTAACTGGTACTGCCATTCTTTTGTTTCGAGAGATGAGTTGAGCGACGTGGCGTCTTCGTTAATGCATCGCCAGAGTCACCGGCGCTCAGCTGTGGAAAGTTCAATTCATCAGAGTACATTCCCGTTCGAGCGACACCCCCAAAGCGAGTTGTGCGACGTTTGGGCGTGCCCGTTCCTTCGGGCTTCGGTGGTGACTGCATCACTTCTTCTGCCCTCTTATCGAGGTACAGAGACAGATCTTTGAAACTCTCGCGGACGTCGTAATTAATCGGCGGAAGATTTTTTCTCAAGTGAAACGCAGCTCGTGGTCGTCGGTCGTCGACATCACTCGAATCCTCTTGGTAACCAAGGCTTCGCAGTTTGGGTGTTGAAATGATCAATTTTGTGAGAAGCTCGCGACGCTGGAATTGCTGTGTGTAAACCATCATTTGTCTTTGGCCTGTGCTGAATTCGAGTGATGTTCAGGATGTCATGTGAGCGACGTCGGAAGAAGCTGAAATGTCCACTCCGGATATGAGCTCAAGTGAGTGAGGGCGACGCTGTTGCCTGGAGACCTGTTCCGGAGGACGCGTCGGCTGGTTGGCTGTAGAGGACACTAAACGGTAGCGCGTTACTTGCGGTTCAAGTGAAGCAGAAAGTGATGGAACTTTTCGGAAAAAGCGATAAACACGACTGGTCATCGCCTGCTGGGTATCATTGAGACTTTTCTGGGCCACGATGAGGCAAAGTGGAAAGCTGACCTACATTTTGGCTCAGCCAAGTGACCATGCCTTGACGTTACCATCCTCTCCACAGCTGAAAGCTCTCTTCTCTATCAGCAATACGTCCCGAACCACTTCGTCACCGTGAGCACCTGGAAGGTCGATCTTTTGCCCAAAGTCCCATGCTCCAGGCGTGCCCAGCGAAGAGATGCCCAAGGTTCGCTTCTCGTTGTGGCCGTACGCAATCAATGGTGGCCCATCTGGCTGCACAAGCACGTCGATCACATACATGCAATCGAGCTTTTGACGCACATCTCCAAATTGCAGTGGCGGAGGGAGCTCTTCTTCCTCGGACGCGGTCTTGGCCAGTGTGTAGATGGAGTATTGCTCGTCTGTGGATACAACATATGCCTGGTCCTGAGCGATGAAGCCGGCGCAGTGGACTGCTGATCTGGGATTCAGGACTTGCTGCAGAGCATCATCCTCATCCTCGTGATTGACATCAAAAATGGAGACCAGCCCATCTGTACTGCCCGACAGCAGAACTTGAGGTTGGGCAGGATGAAATTGCAGTTGGGTCACAGTATCGGTATGCGATTCGTTGTACTGCCGCACTGGTGCACTGCTGTTTCGTGTGTCGAACAACAGCACACTCACATCACCGAGTCCTTCTTTCAGACTCTCCGTACCGACGGCGATGAGGTGGTCGTGACATGCTAACGATGCTATGCCGTTTGCTTTGGGGTCGGCCATTTCAGCAACGTTCTTTGCACGACTATCCCAGCATCGCACCAAGCCATCGCGGCCGCCGGTCACAAAGGTGCGAGCAGATTCGCCAGTCTTGAGGCAAGCAACGCCGGAGTGACAGTCTTGGAGAGTCTTGGTGACCTTCAAAGTGGTGGCGTCAAAGATGCGCAGAGCGTCATCGGATCCGATAGTCGCTAGTTGAGTTCCCGACCCCCTCGCCAAAGCAAAGAGGTAATTGTCGGTAGGTGTAGCCAAGCTTCCGAGACACTTTGTAGGCATTTTTGCGAACGGACTCCGGCGACAATTTTCTTTCGAGGCGCTCGGCACGAGGGCAGGATGCCGTGGGAGGAAAGGCGCTGCTGTACGCTTGTTGGTCGAAGACCAGGTCCCGACAATCACGTGGTGCTGCGCAATGAGTTGTTAAGTCCTTGAGTCGGTATGCGAAAAGTGTACATCGCCAGTCAGTCGAGCAAGGTGAAGTGTGTGGTTCGCTTAATTGCCCATTTCAGGTAAACTAAGAGGAAGGAAAAGCTGGGGATCGGCAGAGTGCGACAACGAGGCGACTGACTCGCAAGAATCGGCAGACAATCCGTTTACATGCATGAGCTCGCAGGAGCGGACACCCTGCGCGTGTCACCCACGGTACTTCGCCTCTGCACTTTGCATTGTCGTGTCAGCTCCAGCCAAGTCAGCCAGCGCATTGCGTCGCGCTGGCGCCATGAGTAGTCGACCACCGCGTACTGGATCACCTCCTGCCGGACCACAGAATTCACGTTGCAGATACCTGCCACGCCGCCTCTGACGCAACGGAATTGGGATACTTTCCATCAGATGGGCTTCTCGCTGCACCCTGAATATTGGCTTTGGTGGCGGAGGACAAGAATACACTCTGCTGGGCGATTGGCCCACCGGAGGGGTGTGCCATGAAGTCTGTCCGCGCGAAGGTTCACAAGTTGAGGCGTGAGGGAAAGCGAAATGGGGTACGGTTCCAGGCCAACGCGCAGGAAGCCAGAGGTTGCTGCCGGTCGCTGCGTTGGCGGGCTCAGGAGCGGCCATGTCGGGCGCGGAGGTCCTGCACACGCTGGCAGTGTGGCATGGCGGGCTTTCTGGTGGTGTTCTGCTGCTGATGACGACGGCGACGGGTGCCAGCGGAGCGTGGTCTCGCTTTGACAGGCAAGGAATTGCCTTCGCCGAAGCCAAGCTCCAGGGCGGTAGAATAGAGTGCCGAGAACGAACCTCGATGTGCAGCGCAGCGCAGCGCAGCGCACAGGAGGAGCACGAGGCGGTGGTGCACAGCGCGGCTAGAGGGCACGCAACCACCAAAAGTCTGCGCTGCAGCCACGCACCTTCTGGGCGCTGCGTTTAATAGCCAGCCTGCATGTAAAACCCTCTCGCCGCTTCCTGTTTGTCTGGCCTGTTTCGC